TATGTGTTACAGACCTTGCATATATACCTCGTAACCGTGATCTCTAGATCCAAACATATATTATTGCATCGTTCTCGTCACATGTTTAACCACATGACGCCAAATAGAAGCTGAATCTCTTTTTTATTATAAAAATTATGAAAATGCAGCACACACAAAACGAATAATCATTGGCGACGTGAACGATTTGCGACGGAGCCTAGAAGTGCTTCTTAAAATGAGAAAAACACATGTATATATATATCCATCAGTTTTCTGCCCATCATATGCTAAAAAGGCATTAAACATTTTAGGGAGTAGGTACGCTAATGATGACCTTAAATAAATTATCGAATATACGTCGTAGGCAAACTTAAAATTCAGTCAAATTTAAAATCTGCCTAGGCAAAACTAAAATTCTAATTTTGACTAGAGAACAACTCATTTGGCTTTTGTATTGGAGTAGATACCTGCTTTTACCTACGTTCAGCTGTGATATGGATAGCCTTATAACTCAAAAACTAAACGGTACCTTTTTCTAAAAAATAGTATGGCAAACTTGTACTACAAACTGGCGAAGGGTACCTTCAAATTTGTTAACTTTTTAATCTGGGAAGTTGCGAGAATAAACCCTAATTTCATAGTGAAGAGAATCTTTCTTTTGCATACACAATCTCAAGGAAGTGTTGAAAGAGCGAATGGTGTGCTGATCGGAGCATTAGGAAAATGGATGGCGGGCGAAAGGTTCAATTCATTGGTCTGAAGGCTTACTATCGGTTGTTTATGGAATTAATATAAGAGTGCGAAGTTCTTTTTGGTCAAAAGTCACGTTCAGGTCTTGAGTTTTGGTGGTTTTTATCTTCTAATAAATTGGGTGTGAAAAATTTAAAATAAATTCTTATCATATTTAAGATGATGCATCTGAAGTCGATAATTATCAGTGATCTTACTTACTTCATACTGAACTGTACGTTCGGAAATACTGATATGAGTAGGATCAGAAATGTAACCGGCGACCCACATAGACCGGCCGGTTTAAACAGGGACCGGTCCAGAGGTTTTAGATCGGTTACCGACTCGGTCGACTAAAATTTTGACTGGTTACATCTATGAGTAGGACTTTATATGTGACTGCACATCTCATTTTTATTGGATGTTTTGTCTTCGTTTACGAATAGTGGCAGTTTTATATATGATAAACTTAAACATCGTTTAGGTTCTCTCCAATTGAATCATGCAGCATTAAATTACTTAATAGTGCCTCTCATGTTTACAAACACTTTAAAAATGAAAGGTGAGTCGTGTTCGTCATATCGTTTTACTTGACCTTCTAAGAATAGAACAAGAGCTGGAAAAACAAACGTGTTCATATTAACAAAAAGCATTTTGTGTTTATTTAATATATGTTATATTACATGATAACGTAAACGTCCTGTGTCCCCACCATTAATTAGGAAAGGAGACAAATGCCGTGGTGGCGTGAAGAAGCTGGAGCAGGGGGACTGTAGTTCCAAAAATCGGAGTAAGTTCAAAAATGTTTTCTGGCAAGTTTGATAAAGTAAAATAAATGATACAAACTCGCCATTTTTTCGTTTCGGACTTACTATTGTATAACCACGGTTACTGCAGTTACCATCACACTTTGTAAACACACGAAGAAAACTGCATTTTTTGTTGTTCCTTTCTATAGTGTATTCAAGAACAAATAAAATACAAAACAAAATACTAAATTCTACGGCTAGTTGTGTTTGGAATTTTTGATCAGCATTAATACTCCAAGTTCACAATAAGCCAAGTGGACAGATCTCATAATCATATACGATCAGTGCATAAAGTCCGACAACTAATGATTCTAGTCCGGACTTGAACTTGCCCATCTCTAGGGAAAAGGTATTCTACCTTGTTCGAGCTTTCTCCGATTCTGTGGCATTTTTGGAGCAAAGATAGCCGGAAAGTCGAGAAACCGGCAAATATGTGCGCAAAAACTGTAAAAATTTGCCGAAATCGGAGTAAACTCACTCCATTTTTTCACAAAATTCGAGTAAATTTCTCGTACTTGTGGCTCGAATCGGAGCAAATTCTAAAAGCAGGAGGGGTGTACACTCCCCTCACACAAACGGTCGCGCCGCCACTGAACAAATGAAACGATCGTAATATTTTAACCTGCGAGTGACTACAAAAAAATTGAAGCACAGATTCTATTTAATAATGTACGATCATATCTGTAGGAGAATTGTTAGACAGAAATGAATGTAAATAATGTGTAATTGTAAGCAAACTAAGTAAGATGAGTCATCGTTTGTTGAAGTTAATGTTGCTTTGTGGGTAATAGCTGTTTTTCATATTTTATCATTAATTAATTACAAAGATAATGTTTTTTCTTGTGAGTACTCTCTGTTCCATTCTGTCTCTAACATACGGACTTGATAATGGACTCGGACTGACACCACAAATGGGTATGTTATACTAGGAAACTTTGCCGTACACTTTACAAACTAAAAAGTTTATCATCTAGGATGGAATTCTTGGAATCATTTTGGTTGCACAATTAATGAAAAACTTATAATGGCTATGACAGATGTTATTGTGAGCAGTGGGCTTGCAGCAGCTGGCTATGAATACATCAACTTAGATGATTGTTGGCAGTTAAGTCGGGATGCTGATGAAATTATTCAGGCTGATCCAATAGCTTTTCCAAGTGGGATTGCCGCCCTCGCCGATTATGTACATTCCAAAAAATTGAAATTTGGTTTGTATTCTGGTGAGTGATTTTGACGTGTATTTTGAAAGATAATTAATTGTTTGGGATAAATAGTACATACTTTAACTGCTTGTTTAGATGCTGGTTTCAAGACATGTGACGGACGTCCCGGTTCACTTGGCTATGAAACAAAAGATGCTAATACTTATGCATCATGGCAAGTCGATTATCTGAAATACGACAATTGTAATACAGATCAAACAATTCCAGAGAAACGTTATCCGGTAATGAGAGATGCATTGAATGCCACTGGTAGACAAATATTTTACTCAATGTGTGAATGGGGAGTTGATCAACCCGCCTTGTGGGCAGCTGCTGTAGGCAATTCTTGGCGTACAACTGGCGACATCAGCGATAATTGGAATTCAATGATTTCTAACATTGATATTAACAACCAATATGCTGATCGAGCAGCACCTGGTGGATGGAATGATCCGGATATGCTCGAGGTCGGGAACGGTGGAATGACAAATACCGAATACATTTCACATTTCAGTATATGGGCTATATCGAAAGCACCACTCCTAATTGGAAGTGATGTGACGAAAATAAGTCAAGAAACATTGAATATTCTGACAAATCCAGAAGTAATTGCCGTTAATCAAGATTCATTGGGATCACAAGGAAAAAAAGTAGCCACCTACTCATCTCGATACACGAATACGACTATAACTGCTGTTGCCACTGCACCTTGTTTAGGAGAGGATAAAAATTTAGGTCAACAATGGGAGTTTGAAAATTCCGATAACACTATTCGAAGTCTGTTGGATGGTAGATGTTTGCAAATATACAGCTACAACTGTAGTGAAGAACAAACCTCATCGATTATTGTTGGTCCGTGCACAGTAGGCGAACCTCAAATGCCGTGCAGTTCATTAAACCAACAATGGAAAACAAGTTCAACGATCAACGGTAAAATTCAAACACTTTTGAATGGAAAATGTTTGAATGTTGGACCAAATGTAGGTGTATTTACTTGTGATAGACAAGATAATCAAAAATGGAATTGGAATTCACAAGATTCGACTATCCGAACCAAATTAAATGGAAATTGTCTAACAGTTCAACAAGATTTAGAAGTATGGGCAGGACCACTGGCAGATGGATCACAGGCTGTTTTGCTTTTAAATCGTGGTGTTAATCATGCACCAATGACAGTGAAATGGACGGATATTGGATTGAAAACAGAACAAAATGCACTCGTTCGAGATTTATGGAAACGTATGGATTTAGGAACATTTACAGGTATGTACTCCGAACCAATGGTTGAATCGCATGGTGTTGTTATGCTAAAGATAACACCTTCAATATAATACTATTTTAGCTTTTTTTGTACGTTTTTTACAAGTAGAACTAACAGCCATAACTGTGATTTATTGATTTGACTATTCTAATAAATTATATCTGATTTAGACGTTATCGCTTTCTAAAAATGCATAAACCAAGTAAAATAAAGCGTCATCACCTAAACCCAAAATTGTTAGAAATGTTTTTTAACATTGTCGAACATATTCCAGCCCGGAGTCATAAAACAATGAATAATATTTGCTCTTCAACCCATTTTCATTCGTTTTGACCATACAAAATGAAGTATGTCATACTTCTTTTAGATTTCAAAATCTTTTTCTTGTTAAAATATCAAATAATTCTTTAGAGAACTTGCCCGTACTTTTCGAAAAGAGCAGTTCTTCATAGTTATTGTGTCGACATTTTTAATTGGGAGTTTTTGAGACACATTTCATTTAACAGCATGTGAAAAATAAAACAAAATAAGCTAGTCTTCTCTCAAGTAACATAACACTCACTGACAAAATAATCAAAATTTAAAATTTTTTACTTTTTACAAAATCACACTTTTCATGTAAATATTATAATAGAGCATTTGAAAAACTGAAGTTTCTATTGTGCACAATTTACAATTTTGCACAAAATGATCAAAAAGTTTTGTTAGAAAAGTTTTATAATATGTACAAAACTTGTATGAAAGTTAGGTGACAAATCAGAATAAAGCAAAATTTTCTATCCTATTTCGAACAAAAGCGTCATAATTGTATTCAGCTGATTCAGAGAACATTATTTGTGATATAGTCTGACATATACTTCGTAACACAACATGTGTTCTTTTTTAAATTAGACCATTTTGAAACAATGGTGTGCCTTCGGATACTCACGCAAGTTCTCTCTTAACTAAAATGAAAGTGATAAATAATAATTTTATGATTTTTTCGATAATTATGCAACGCCACTATCGATTATAAACATGAAAGAACAATTAACAAAATTCATCAGTAAAAGATAAAGTTAATGTAATTAGGCATGCACCAAACCGATAGTTCGGTGACCGAACGGTTCGCAACCGAACATATTCGGTCACGAAACGGTTTGTTACCGAACATGTTCGATCACCGAACGGTTCGCTACTGAACATGTTCGCTGCCGATCAGCGAGCCCTAGCTTGGGATGGTTGCATGCCTGATCTGGACTAAAGGCAAATTGAATGAAATTGAAGCTTTTGAAGGAAGTAACCAG